CTGGGCCCCGGCGCTGACCGCCCCAACGGTAACGTCCAAGTACGCCCTGTGGCCACTCGACTCCTGAACCTCCGCTGCCAGGGCCCCGGCGCTGAACTCCTCCGCCTCCGCCTCCGCTGCCGAGTCGAGGGCGCCAGCACGCAGGACAGCGAGCGTCGCCAGGGAGAACTTCACGACGCGCGCCATGGATCTGCTGTGACTCAGGTAGTGTGGAACACCGTGTTATGTAGCAGGCGAGTGCTGTTCGGGGCTCGAGTCAAGGACGGCTTGAGCCAGGGACGAGCAGGCGGAACAGTACTAGGGAGGCCAGTCTTCGGTCGGGCATGTCCCCCTACAGACGGACTTCAGACGAACAATAGCAATGATCTGAAACGTATTCAAAAAACATAGGATAATCAACAAATCGTCCCCAGATCATTTCTTGACTAATATTGAATATTCCTCCTGTAGAGGGACATGCCCGACCCTCTGAGAGGGTCGGGCATGGTCTCGGTTTTGGTGTTGACTTTGGTTCTTTTGTCCAATAGAACTCCAAAACCGAGAGTCTCGGTCTTGGTTTTGGTTCTTTTTCCCAAAAAACTCCCCCTGGGGCTTCGGCCCGTCCGGCCGGCCACCTGGAAAGGACCTCAAGGAGCACAATTTCCAAAGCTTTCGCTCAAGATGGCCTCCAAGATGGCCTCCAAGATGGCCTCCAAGATGGCCTCCAAGTCCGCCCAGGATGGTCCAAGACGGCATCCAAGACGGCCCGAGAGAGTCCAAGATACCTCCAAGTTTGCCCAAGAGGCCTCCACGGCCCAAGACGACCCAAGAGGTCTCCAAGAAGTCCTCAAGGAGGGCCCGAAGAGGCCAAAATCATTGATTTTCCGTAGGGTTTGAAGGATTTTGACATTTGCTTCTTTTCGGCCTTCCGACGGCTCAAGACGGCCCAAGAGGTCCCCCAAGATCACCCCAAGATCAACCACGAGGCCTCCAAGATGGGCCCATGACGGCCCAAGGGGCCCCCAAGACGGCCTTGGAGCATTCCAAGAGGGCCCCACGTCGGCCCAGACAGGCCCCCCAAACGGCTTCTGACGGCATCGGACGGGCCAGGAGCCCACCAAGACGGCCGAAGATTGTCCTAAGATGGCCCAAGACGGCCTCTGAGAGGGCATCCAGGAAGGCCCGAAAAGGCCAGAATCATTGATGTCCCAAGAGTTTTTGAAGGATTGTGGCAATTGCTTCTTGTCAGCCTTCCGACGGCACGAGACGGCCCAAGAGCCCCCAAACATCGCCCCAAAATCGCCCAAGAGGCCTCCAAGATGGCCCCAGAACGGCCCAAGAGGCCCCCAAGACGGCCCCATGAGGCCCCCAAGACGGCCCAGGAGGCCTTTAAGACGCCCAAGATGGCCTCCAAGACGGCCCTGGAGCATTTCAAGAGGGCCCCAAGTCGGCCCAAACAGGCCCCCAAACAGCTTCTGACAGCATCAGACGGGCCAGGAGCCCACCAAGACGGCCGAAGATGGCCCTAAGATGTCCCAAGACGGCCCAAGAGGCCTCCAAGAGGGCCTCCAGGAAGGTCCGAAAACGTCAACATCATTGATTTCCCATGAGTTGTTGAAGGATTGTGGCATTTGCTTCTTTTCGGCCTTCCGACGACCCGACACGGCCCAAGAGCCCCCGAAGATCGCCCAAGAGGTCTCCAATATGGCCCCAGAACGGCCCAAGAGGCCCCCAAGACGGCCCCATGAGGCCCCCAAGACGGCCCAAGAAGCCTCCAAGACGCTCAAGATGGCCTCCAAGACGGCCCTGGAGCACCCCAAGAAAGCCCCAAATCGGCCCAGCCTCCCCCACCGTGTTCCCCGAACGCTTTCCAAACCGATTCGGGGAACACATGGTCCGATAGCTTGGCAGGCATCTGGCCACAACGATCGGCCACATAGGCGTTTCCAAAAAGACAGGGGGCGGCGGTGATTCGCCGTAGGCGTCTTCGATAATCCGCATATCTTCTTAACACCCGGCCGTGGTGATACACGTGGTAGCCGCTTTCGGACCCTGGGGCCATCTATAGAGGCCTCCTAGATGGGGTCCGAATAGATTTGGTCGTAGGATCATGCCGCATCTCCGATACATCGGCAATGTGTTGGCGATGCACCAGCAACGCATCGTCGAAGAGGGCGATGCATCGGCGACGTCGAACCGCATCGCAGATGCTTCGGCGATGCGGCGCGACCCTTCGACCCCATCTACTCGGACCCCATCTACAACCCTAGTCAAGCTTAACCTCAAACATGTCTTACGTAGCTGAACTGTTTGTGGGGAGATACTGGACAGAGAAGTGATGACTGCGAAGCACTTGTACGCGCCGCCCCTCCAATGTCGGTCTTCATCGCACTTCCGAGTCGTTCCCGGTCAGACCACCTTTGCCCTGGCCCCGACACTGGAAGGGCGTCTATCGACACTGAAGGGCGTGCCGACATCGCCGGGCCGTGTTCGCCATTTTCGATGTTCACTTTGCCGAGGGCAGTAGGAGACCTTTGGGCGTGGTTTAACAGGGGGGTCGTAAATGGGGGGGTCAGAAACGGTCCCCTTTCGTGCCCCCTTCGGGCCCCTCCAGAGCCCCAGGGGGCTCGTCTAGGTACCGTTTGGGTACCTGTTCGGACCACCCTTGCCACCCCCCTCATTTATGACCCCCCCCCATTATCGGGGGCGGCCAGGAGGGGGGCGTCCAAGAGGGGGGGGCAAATCATGGCGGGCGGCATGTGCGCGGCCCAGGGGGGGGTGGCCAGGGACGTAATGAAATAAGAAGCGCCACGAAATCTGGGGAACTCTCATGGCCCACGCCATGAGATCTACCCCCCCCCCCAGTCATCACCCCCCCTCTGCCGCCCCCCGACACTGCGCAGCGCCCAAGGCCTGGAGTCTGCCGCGTGCCCGGGACGCGAGACGTGCCCGCGGGGAAGGGGGCGGGGGCCCTGCGCCCCCGCATGGGGGCTCTGCAGCGGGGCGGGGGGCACGATCCTGACTGCAGGGGGCCTCCTCCGGGGACCGAGGGCAAATCGTGTCGGGCAGCGATTCCCCCGGGAGTGTTCGGAGGCAGCTCCTGGGAGCCTCCCACATCATCTTGTCGGCTCTCGCGAATCGACGACAAATCGACGACACATCGACGACACATCGACGCTAAGTCCACGCTGAATCGGCGCTATCTCATCGACTCCCGGACGCTCATCGACGCTGATCGGCGCGAAAGGCGGCATCGCGAGGGTATGCGAGGCCCCCGTGATTTGCTGCCAGGGGAGTGCCCCCTAGCCCCGCGCACGCGCAGAGGCTGCCGGCTGTCCAGGCGCCCCCTGCGCCGGAGGCGCCCCTCTGCCGAGAAGAACGCCAATCGACGGGGCCGAAAGAAGCCGCGCGTAGCAGATCTCGAGCACCCCTTGACACGTCGGTCGGAAGTAGGTGAAAACATGGAGTGGGAAGGCGGATCGAGTACACTGGGTCCTGGCCCTCCCAGAGAGAAGCATAACACAGAAAGAGCACGTCGTTCCTGGAGGCAGGAGCGCGCTTGAGGTAGACTGGGATCTGGGAACCCACAAGTACCCACTTTCAACGACCGACGTCTGCAAATCCCTCCGCTTTCGTCCGACCCGAAGCGACGACGACGACGACGACGGCGACGGGCATGCCGCCCGAGCGCCCGAGCCGCCCGAGCGGCCAAGGGCTCTGGCCTTGTGGCCTCTCTGCACGGGGACCTCTCTGTGGAACTACAGTCGGGGCGTTGACCTAAGGAACCCAAAATAAGGAACGAGGCCCCTTTTTTTTCCATAAGTTAAACTTCGATTTACCATTGAACACCTAAGGAAAACCCATGGCAAACTGTAAAACCAATCAAGGAACACCGAGCCCCTCCCCAACGAACAGGGTTCCTTCTTCAGCGCCCCGACTGTATCTGGGCAGACCCCCGAAATGCAATCTTCACACATCACCTCATGGTGGCGACGATCAAACACGGGTCTTGCGCGAGATGAAGTAGCGACCTTACGCGGCGGCTTACGAAGGGCCGCCGGCGCGGCACGCTACGCTGGAAGCGAGGGCGCTTGCGCGCGAGATTACGCGAGCAGCTTACGCGCCAATGTCGGTGAAGACGAAGCCATTTTCCTTTGTCTCTCATCTGGGCAAGCTCCCCAAGTGCGATGTGCACATCAACACATGTACCATCTTGTCTGTTTCTGCGATGTGGGCCTCGACTGTTCTCTCTCTCTCTCTCTGTCTTGTCTGCAACTGCTGCAGAGAAGGCAAGATCTGGTGCTGCACCATATGTGCAACAAACCCCGAGTGTTTAGGTAATGCTACGGTCAGCCTAGAATGCCACGTAAGCGTTGTTTAACCGATCCCTATCCCCACTGGCGTGGCCTTGGCTCCACTGGGCGACTGACCCACCTAGTTGGGGACTTCTATGCCTGTTCCTTCGGGTTTCGCGGGGCCTATCCCCACCTAGGAGGGTGGGCTGTTGGTGCTGAGATACTATGGCCCAGTGGGGATGGGGATAGGTTGGACGATGGTGGCTTCGCGTAGGGTAACAGCCTGATCTTTGCAAGGCCGCAGAAAACAGTACGTACTCTGCCCTTGAGTGCTGCTTGGCTGACCGCTGCTACTTTGCCGCTTTGCCCCGCCCTTCCTGCCAGTCTCGCTTTTGTGTCCACTGGTCTTGCTCGGCGGTCCAGACTCCGCAACTCAGAAGGGGAACGTGAGGAGAGAGAACAAGAAAGCGACAGAGCGAGAAACAGACATATTCATAGACACGCCTGAATGTATATCGAGAAAACGAGAAAGAAACATGAAAACACATGTGTATACGTGCCTGTCTATAGATATAAATACGTTTTCTACATCCATGTGGTTTTAGTACGCATTCCCCAAACAAAGTTTGCACTCAAGGTTTTTGGTGTCTGGTCCTGGGAACTGGCCCTGACTGTCGGCCTGGCGGTTTCGTGCTCGCCGTCGCCGCCCCGTCGCCGTCTCGTCGC